TTTACTCGTAAATAATTCAGTCTAGCTCTCATCCCAGTTGCGTAAAAACCCCTCTTTGACCGATTAAAATAGTAGCATGCAACAGTAGAACGTTTCTATTATCCGTGATCGAAGCATGTGTTTGAGTGCGGTGTTTCCAACACTTAACGTGGATGCAGAGTCGAAGTGCCATTTATTCCGAAATAGGACCTCAATGCATCTAAATTAAGTAACAAACAAAATTTCGAGTGATACATGGGGAATTGCCAATTATCGACGATATACGCAAAGATGATTTTATAGGTGAACGATCACCCGATTTGCAATATAGCACGCACGAAGTCGTCATATTTGTGGTCGCTGTAATATAATTATTCGATTTCGTACGAAAAATAAAGAACCAATGCTATGGATAGCTGATGCTGGGTTTTAATGTATAAAAACGGATCGAAACCGCTGGAGTCTCGGGTAATGAATTGAGTCATATCAAAAATAACGCTCAAACATAATTAATCGATTTATCAATTGCAAAACAAATAACTACGAAAAAAATGCAACTTAACATTCCCGATAATTTTTTATTTGCGATTTTCATTGCCGTAATCGCGCTCTATGAAGCATACAATCGGGACGTAATAACAATGGGAATGATTTTTTCCGTCATTCCCGAAAATACAATAATCTATGTAATTATCGCCGTAGTATTTATTTATCTACGCAAAAGTCCGCACTAAATTCCACCCCCAATTCCTACTACGGGAGATGCGACTATAAAAAAACTTGAACAGGCTATTTTAGTCCTCAACAATGAAATCATTAGAATGCGCACAGAGGCAGAATGGAAAAGTGAAGCCCGAAGTGGAGATATGTGGAACAATTGCAAATTTAGCGTAACTCCTCATATTTTATTTAGAGCGAAACTCATTACTTTATACCTGTATTCTATAATTAGGACAAGCATCCGTGCAAAGTCACAGAACTGAATATTCTAGTGAAACAGAAACTCTTTGGGTCGAATTTACGGCCATATTTAACGAGAGAAGAAAAAGAGAAAAACGTTCTCTCACGAAAATGTACAATGTCCTGTCCGAAGAAATAGACCTCAGCCCATCCACACTCGCAAAATTCTAACAGCATCAAAAATCGCCACAACGTACATCATTAGACAAAATCGAAGCTTGGGTCGAGAAAGAAAACAAGAAAAAAGATAACTCGGTTATCATTAGTGATAGTAGCAGTAATAGTAATAGAAATAAGTTTTTCAAGTAGTAGTAACATAATCTTAGACGATAATATTAACGATAGCTAGTGTGGGAACTGCGAATTTCTCCAGGTTGCGATTAGATTCCAATTTGATCTCATGGCGGCGGTGTTTTTAGTGAGTATTTGGCGCTTCTTTTCGTTGGTAGAGTCCAGCCAGAATTTTGCTGGGCCAAACCACAAAACAAAAGACATTTGATAGCAATGGTGTTATGCAGAATTCAGCCAATCATTGAATGTGTTACAGATATAGGTCATGTGCATTAAGTCAATCCGAATAATTATGATTAGGGCTGTTAAAATGCTCACCGGACTCGGTCCTTGAGTCGACTCATCCTGGACATTTTAGGACTGACTCATAGCTTTTTTTGGACAGTGTCCCAATGATCACATGATGAAATCCTTATATAACACATATCATGTCATTTATCATAATTAATATTGGTTAAGCAGCTGAAATGTCATAGTTAAAATTTTAATTACGTAAATTAAGAGTTAATCATTGCATGTTAAAGAAACTATTAATTAATTATCCAAGTAAATTATATTTAATAAAAGAATATTTTCACATAATTGTGTTAATCTACATATTAGCTCACCTCACTCTATATAAAAAGCAGTCATCTTTTTTTTCCTCTGATATGAAAAATTTTATTTTTTTTTGTCTGCGTCAAATTTCACTTTTACAACTGATTTTTATTGTTTTTTTTTTTATTATGTCTCACTCTAGCTTGCCCATTTCTTCATTTACATTCCTTGATCCTTTAAATGAAAATTCTTTTAGAAGTAACAATCTTGTCGAACCTTACAATACATTTGTTAATGATGTAACTAATAACATAAAAAAATCAAAAAAATACACATCACCTGTTCATGACTATCTAGAAGTAATTGAAATTGACAATCGCATTTATAGTATATATTTAAATAATTCCAGCATAGACAAACTTAGTAAATGGAGCATACTTACATCTGTAACAACAATATCATGACACTTCAAAAATAAGCATCTGAGTATTTATAAAGATTTCCAATGAAAAACTTAAAAATAATCCATTCATCATATTCAACTATTGATAAAACTGGTAGAGATTGTATAAAATCTTTGGACTATGATCTTTTGCAATAGATTATCATGAGTCAGCAGTCTTATTCAATAGTTAAAGAAGATTTCTTTATTAAATTTATTTTAAACCTTGATCCATAATATAAAATTTCTTGTCATCAAATAATTTCTACAAATGTTAAAAATAAATTTGATACTATAAGAATAAATATAAAGGATATTTTAAAATTGAATTGTAGTAAACTAGCACTTACTCTAGATGTTTAGACAGCATGCACCCAGTAACTATTCCTTGAAGTTACCATTCATTGAATTGATACAGAATGAATAATGAGAATCCTTCTTATTCCTCTTCATGATTCTCATACTGGTGCATATCTTGAAAATAAAGTTCTTGAACTTATAAAAGATCTAGAAATAAAAGAAAAAATAATTGGTTTTACTGGAGACAATGCATTAAATAATAAAATATGTCTACAATATCTTTAAAATCATATAAATCCAAATTTTATATATGTACAATATGCTAAACATGTTTTAAATCTTGCAATCAAAAAGGCCAAAAATATTATGTTAACCAGATGAAAAAAGTATAAACACTCTGTAATAAAATTAGAAACTCACCTTTACTTCTGGAAAAAATGAAAAGAATTTTCATTATTTTTAATCATCCATTTCTTTATCCCAAACTTGATATCGATACAAGATGAAATTATACCTATCTAATACTTAAATGACTTATTAAAATTCAAAGTGTTATAAATAATCTTGTATGAGTTCATTCTAATTTAACAGAAAACTATTTAAAACCTAGTAATTGGAATATAGTTAAAGAAATGACTCAGTTTTTTAAATCTTTTATAAGGTAATTTTGAAATTGTTAAAGAGCTTATTATATTTGCATGGCTAATTAAAAATAATCATCCAAGATCTTTTGATATATCTCAATCATTATATTGAAAATACTAGTGTAAATATATATCAGAAAATAGTTCAAGGAATAAAAAATAAATTAACAAGTTACTGAACCTATCTCTTATAATCTTTAACTATTCCTACTCTTCTTGATCTATTAATTAAGTTTGAAATCTTAATAAAAAGAATCACCAGTTAGCTATCAATATTTTAAAAGTTTTCTATTCTATTTATTATATAGATGAAGAGATAATAGAATCTAAACAAGATTCAACTTACCTTTTATTATCTTCAAAGCAGAATAATAATTCATTGTGGTAATGAAGAGCAAATACTCATTATTTTCCAACTGTAACTTTGATAGCAGCAGACTATTTTGCATTACAAGCTATGAGTGTTCTCTGTGAATATGTCTTCTCTGTGACTAAAAATATAATTAGTTTTTTGAGAAATTGCCTTCTTGAATAATTAATCAGAATTTCATTATGCTTAAAAAATTGGTTTAAAGCAAGAATCTTAGAATAATATATCATTTTACTATAATATATAATAAATTATCTTTGTAATAGCTGTTTATTTTTTTTGAATTTATTATTATGCATATGTTATATAAAATTATGTATTACAAATATATATAATTACTCACATAATATATATGAGCACAATGTTGGTATCATGTCCTAATTAAAGTTCTAATTTTTGGAATCAGAACAGACTAAACTGAACTTTTAATAGCTCTAATGATAATTATTTGAGTTGACTTAAGCCTTAATTCATTACATGGCTTAACGGTCCTCTAATTTGATAAAATCAGATTTAATTAGTTTACATCAAAATTTTATGCAATATTCACTTTGATCTCAATTTTTTTTTGATCTAAAATAATAGAGTGTATTATATAATTAATTCTAGAATGATACTTCACAATATAAACAAAAAGATGTATAATATATATATATATATATATATATATATATATATATATATATATATATAATATTATATTTATAAGTAAATGATGAAAAATATTATCAATAGCTAGAATCAAAAAGTAATATTGTATTTTTTATTATATGCTCTAAAGTGAAAATATAGTTACCACTTAATATATGTTAAAATTAACATAAATATATTAATAATTCAATAAGTATCAGTATGATCAAGATCATCTTTACAATCTAATTTTTAATTAAAGATTTGACTAATATAAATTGTATTTTTGCAATCTCATCTCTTGCCAAGTTTTTTGATTTTTGCTTTACTAGTTTGAGAATAGTACTCCAATTAGGTCAGATCAAATTTATAATTTGACTCAAATTACACACTTTGGATTTGATTGGTATCAAATCTGACCTGAAATATTTTGAATTAGACTAAATTATTATTTCTTGTTCAAAAATTTGTAGATATATGCATAATTATATTTTGAATAATTCTACATAAAACACAAAATACAAGTGTTTTAGTTAAAATAAAACTTATTAATAAAAAATTATTTTGTAATTTTTGGAGCAAATCTGATTCAAATAGAGCTTTATTTAAGATAGCTTGATATTCTAAAGGATTTTAGTATAAATATAAAATATTTAGTTTCTATTTCTATTAAATTTATATTTGATATCAAAGATATTTTTCAATGATTGAAAAAATTGAATATGAAATTCTTTTTCAGGCTGTTCAAATATTATCTTTTTGCAAGATATCATTTCAAAAAAATTTGTCAATCAATGTATTACTAGCAACTTTTACAAAATTTTAAATTATATTAATTATTATTTCTTTCATTTTGTTTTTATAGTATCAATATATTTCTGTTAATGTGAAAATATATTTTTATCATAAAATCTGAGTTATGAATAATATATATAGTTTTTTAGAATAATTATTACTTAATTCTCTTCTATTATTTTTAAGTTAAATATAAGTATTGCATTAAGATTATATTATTAACTTTTAGTTCATCATCATATTTATCAAAAACTTATTATAGTATATATCTTTATTGCATAATTAATTTCTTCACTCAATTCTCAAAAATCTTATTCTGATACTTTACATTCCAAATATTTCAAATTTCTTTCTCTATTCAAATAAATATATAATATTTTCTAATATATCTTTTTACAAATTTATATTATTAGTCACTTTTGGTATTATAACTAAAAATATATATCTTGTATTTCATAAAATAAAGTTATAAAATCAGTAATATTTTATATGAGTTTAAGTAATAGATCAAAAATTTCTATTATATTTATATTTGGTTTGATATAAAAAATATAGATATAATATATATAGGATAAATTATATTTGTTAATAAATATTAATAAGTTATATAGAAAATTAAATATAGTAAAAAGTATATTTTTTTAATATCAGATAATCTGATTATAACACATTCTTTTTTGTTATAATGAATATAATTATTCTTAAATTCTGATATTAAATAGTTTTATAATATTAATGAAATAACTTCAAAATATTACAACTTCTCCAAAGTACAAATTTGAAAATATTTATTACTATTATATTTTAATTAATAATACCTAAAGAAAATATTTTTTATAATTATGAAATATTTTATTATATCATTCATTAAATAAAACTCTTAATAATTAATGAAATCTGTGACAAGTAATAAAACTAGTAATAATTAATAATACTTTTTGATTAATTAAAATAATAAAATAATTGATAGAATCTGTAATAAGATTTTCTAACCAATCAAAATAATAGCTAAAATTATACTATTCTGAATTTTAAAAAAAGTTATATTATAAGAAATCTAGTATATATATTTAATTAACTAAAAATCATAAATAATCAAAATTATGCTAAATTTTGACTAATATTACTAAAAATATAATTTTAAATATATATCTTTAGTAAAAAATAAACTAATAATTAATAAAGCCTGATTTGATCTGTTATTTTTATGATTTAGTTTGTTAAAATTATTATTTATTAGATAATTATTATTTATCACTTATATTTACAAAGTGATAAAAGATTTTATAAAAATTAATATTTATATTGATATATATTATTATATTTATATATATTACATATTTATTCATTTACAAAAATGTTTAATATCAATTAGTATTTTATTAATTAAAAGATTTCATTATAGATTTTGTCAGATTTTATCATTCATTATAAATTTTGTCATTTGTCAAAGATATTTCAAAATGATTATAATGAAAGATTTCATTAAATTGATGTGATAAAATATTTTGTCATCATCAAGTATTATTAATTTTAATATAATAAAATTTATCATTTATATCAAATAGCAATAGCAAAAATATATAATATCAAGATAAAAATTAATTTTTATCTGAGCTTTTGTATCTATTATTATAAATTAAATATGTTTAGATAATAAATTAAAATTTATTTAAAAGATCTACTGATCTATCTATATTTTATTATTCCAAATATAAATGATATATTTAATAATTTTTGTTTATATTATATTAACTAATATAAAATATTCAGAATAATATCTAATATATATTAAATGAATTAAGAATAATTTAATTAGATAGTTTGTTGAATATGAATTTACTAATTTTTTCTCCAAGTTCTGGTTGGTTGAGAATATTAAGATTAATTTTAGCATTAGAATTAAGAGTTAGAGTTAGGACAGGAAAAAGAGTTATATATAAAATTATCTTTTCAATATTTTTTTATTAGTGCTTTAAGCAAGGTTTAAGCATTATTTTTCATATTTTTCACATTATTTGTCTTTTTAATTTTCTTGTATTAGATTTGTTTTGCCAAATTGATCAAAAATTTATGTATCTTTATTGGTTGATTTAGAGAATTCGATATGCAGTCAATCAACCAGCAATGAAAATTACTTGTATCCAATCAGAACTTGAAGAAATTAATAATCATGTTGAATACAAGATTACTTTTATAGTATTAACTAACAAAAGATGAATTTAATAAAAAGTATCAGTATGGAGCAACGGATATTTAAAGAGAAGAAACATTTCAAGTCCTAACTCGCAAAATAAGAGTTTCTTCACACTACTCCATATTATTTGTTTTGCTATAGATCAAATCATTAATTCTACGATAATAATTTTTAATTATATTTTTACTAAGTTTTTTCACCCTAAGATTAAGAAGATCAACTATTTCAATATTATACATATCAAAGAACATTCTCTTTCTGCCATAATCATATCAAAATAATTTTAAATTGGTTCCAAATTGCTGAAATAATATCTGAAAATTATTGTTTCTCGAACCAGAAGAAGCTTCAGATTAATTTGCATCACTTTTTTGGTTTGATGAGGATGAGTCATTATCTCTAAGTTCTGCTTCTTGATAGGTTTAATTCTTTGTTTTGGAGCATTGTGATAGATTCATTAATTGATTCAAATTCGAATGCGATTCTACCAAAATTATTATGATAACACGTTCAATTTCATCAAGTTTCCTGATTGAAGTATTAAACAATGAATCTGGCATTGTAATTGGTGAACTCGGTAATAAATCAAATACATGTATTACTAACGCTAATGTCATTAAAACATGGTATCACATGCAGAAAGATCAGTAGTGTTATGTTGGGCGTGGCGTTTTGTGATCTCTAGGGTACTGTTAAAGCGGAGTAGTGCCCAGCCACGATTGGTGCCGCATAGTTTGGTGATCTGTGACATGATAGGACATGTGTTCGTATGTCTGTTAAATTACAAGATATTCATATGTCTGTACGTCTAAATGCCTATATGCTTGTATGTATGTAACTGTGGTTAAATTATGAGACATTCATATGTCTGTGGCTAAATTATGAGACAAAGAATAAGTTTATTGTGGTATTGTTACAGTAGTAATATAAAAATCATTAATTTCAAAAATAATTGAAAAATACAAAATATTCAAAAATATTCATATAATAAGAATCCTTCTAA